GTCTAGCAATTGTTTTGTGATGAAGTGGTTAGAGTTAACTGCATGTTTTTCTCTGTTTATTTGTTTCTCTGAGGCCCCTTTTTTACTTGTCCAGTATAGGGTCAGTGGCCCAGCTTCTGCAAATGCTTCAAGGCAGCGGCATCTCCAACCAGAAGACCTTGTATGAAGTTCTATCTGTGCCTGAAGATGCTACATATGACGAGATACGTGCAGCATACAAGTGTGCTGCTTTAAACACACATCCTGACAAAGCACAGGCGACTCTCGAACCATCTGTGTCTACCGGCGAGCAACATGGTTTTTTCAGTGTACAGAAGGCATGGGAAACCCTACGCTACCCCAAATGTCGAGCAGAGTATGATAAACAACTACAATCGTCCAGACAGAGCCTTGATGTCATCGCAACCGATATCGAAATCGAGGATATGATCGTTGAAAGCTCTGGCGATGGCGTTGAGCTATTGTACGCCTGTAGATGCGGCGATTATTTTTCGATCACAGCCTGCGAACTTGGTGAAATGGGAATTTCGGTGAGTGAAGATGGGGAAATAGAAGCGCAGGCACCTGATTCTTTACCAACGTCTGTTGTTCTGGGCTGTGGCTCATGTTCTCTTAAAACAAGGCTGATTATAAATAAAGCTTGATTCGTTGTACTGATTTGAACACCTTCTACCCTGCTCTTTTGAAGCACCTCCGATCATGGTCGACATAGCGTGTACTGCTGGCAGTGGCATATTCACTCCTCTGTACCTGAGCTCCTGATGGTTGTATTGAGATGATGATGTTTTTGACCATTGTGCTCAGCTAACCGCCTTTGTCGATTCAAGTCGCTGTGGGTTGTTATCTGTACGTCTCATTCCGTTAATTTTGCTTATTATTGGCTATGACTTGATGCTCCCTCACCTGTCGCTGGTTCTGATGTTCACATGTACGACAGCTGAGGTGAATGCTTGCTGCTCATTTCTTTGACTTGGATGATTTCTCCTGTCAATTGCACTGACGAAACAACAACAAAGAGCAGGTCCTAATTTGTTGTGTCTTTTGCTGTAAATTACTGCAATATATTTGGCATTACTCTTTCTGCCGTGTCTGGTCTATACTGCTAAGCATGGGCGGCATCTTACACAGAACGGTCTCGTTTTGTATGATGTTGCCAAGGGATGATCTATCAGCATATGTTTATTAGTAAAACCTAATCCGCCGTTAACGGCAAGTCACTCACCTGTAACATGACTATGTGCGTGTACCCGGTCACACTTGTCATCTTTTTTTTTTGTTTGGACCGTAGTGTACGTTGTATTTTGTTGCGTATACAGCTCAACCTGTCTCTTCACACCGATCGATTTGTTACCACACGAACCTAAGCTAAGGTCCTGTTTGGTTGAAGCACACGGACCAGTACACTTTCCAGCTCAGAACAAGGCGGCTGTTACGTAGCCTTGAACCCAAAGGATCACACACGAGCTCTACGCACTAGTACGATACAATACAACCACAATCGAGAGCCACCTCTGTTCCGTCCAAGTTGCGGGGCACTTGTCATTTGTCATGCGCGTCCACTTCAACCCCTCGTCACCTCATGAAAAACCCATTCGCGCCGGTCGCAGCGACAACAAGATCGCTCCCCCATTTATACGCACACCCGAGATCACATACTACATCGCGTGTCGTGAGCGTTGCACTAGCAGCTTGATCGATCCTCTGCGTGCAGTTAGCAATGCCTTGCCTGGCGCACGAGCACCATCCCAGGCTCCCCGCCGCTAACCACTGCAGCAGGTCCCTCTCCTGCCTCGTCAGGGAGACCTACGCGCTCTGCCATGGCCCCTGCCTCGGCATCCCCGCCGCCGGGTGGAGCTCCGGCGACGACGACAGCGAGGAGGACGACCGCGCCATGCTCGACACGAAAGAGGTAGCGTCAGAGCGTGCTCTGTTCTTGACCCATTCATGTGAGCACGGCACATCCGTGTAACTATATTATTGCATTCAGGTGATACTGAACGAGATGAGAAAGCGGGAGATGAGGAAGCGGCCGTCGAGCTGCGGCGTGGGCTCGCCGACTCTGTCGGGCGCCTTCGCGTGGTCCTTCACTCCGCTCCACCCGAGAAGCGTTCGCGGGAAGGTCTCGAGTAGTGAGAAGTGCGTCGCCGTGGAGGAGGAAGAGAAGTCGGCGGCGAGTGACGGGGACAACGAGAGCGAGGCGTTCTTCTCGGTGAAGAGCTTCTTCACGCGCAGCACGAGCAGGGCAGCGACCGTGGCGTCGTCGACGGACATGGACCCGCCTGCGGCGTGGGAGGGCTTACGGGGCTGCGAGGGGTGGCCGTTCGGGCTGTGCCGCCGCTGCCCAGCACGCCGGCCGACTCGTGGCAATGGCGCAAGCGGAGCAGCAGCAGCAGCAACCTCGCCGTCAGGCCTGACCACAGCCCGGCTCCGGCTTACAGCTTAAAGATCACTACCGGTTAATAGTTAATCGGCGCCGCCATTACAGAAACAAGAACCTCCATTGCCAAGAATGAAACCCCCAAACTGCTGGTACACAACGGCTGCATCCGGACAGCACAGCTACAATGAACAGAAAATAAACAAATAAAAGGGCGTGAAAAGAACTGGAAAAAGCTTTCAGATCAGCCGCCGCCCGGCGTCGGCGCCGGCGTCGTCGCGGCGGCCGAAGAGGAGGGCGGCAAAGCTGGCGGCGGCGCAGACGGCGGCGACGGCGTTGCCCTCGCAGAGCAGCACGCGGAGCGCGAGCCGCGCGATGTCGGCCGTGGCGCGGCGCGCCTCGGCGACCAGCGACCGCCGGGGCTTGCCCGCGAACGCCAGCAGCACGAGCACGGTGATCCAGGTCACCAGCATGGCGGGCGCGGCGACGGCCAGCGCGGCGCCCATGGAGAGCAGGCCGAAGACGGCGCCGTACATGACGGATGCGTAGAGCGCGGCGGGCCACGCGGCCGGGTGCGCCGCCGAGCCCGCGGCCGCGGCGTAGTACCAGGCGCGCACGGACGCCAGCAGGCTCCAGGAGGAGGAGAGCAGCGCGGCGTAGACGGCGAGGAAGAGCGCCGCCCAGGTGCGGCGCCTGCTCATGGCTCGGAGCAGGAGGGAGGTCCAGGGGGGCCACGACGGCGGGCCCGGCTCGGCGGCCTCCTGATCCGCCATAGACGGGGCTCGGCTGCTTGGTTGCTGGATTCCAAGGTGGTAATTTTGGGGGCGGGGGGTTCTGGCTGCGGCTGCGGGCGGGCGGTGGTGCTCTGGTTTACCTTGGTTGCTTTGCTGCTGGGTGAAGGCACGGCAGGGATGCCCGAGTGCCGAATCGACTCTTGCTTTCCGAAAGGGGCTCATCCCCTTTGTCCTCTTTTTTATTTTTCATTCTAGATTAGAGTAGACTAGAGAGTGGAAAGTGCTGGGAGTTGGGCTGATTCAGGCCAGCCTCGACGTGCGTCGGGCCGCGTCGGCGTCGGGCTGAGGCCAGCTGGTCCGGCACGGAAGCCTCCCGCCGGCGACAACGCACGCACGGCAGACGGCGCACAGTAAGAGCGTCCACGGCCACGAACAGCGCCGATGGCCTCCCGTTTGGCCTGTCGGACAACCACACATCTCTCAAATGTGGTTCAACACAAAGCAAAATAAATCATAGCTTAACAATCCGGGCATGTCAAAATAAATTTCAAGTTTGAACGTGACGGGTCACTCGCTGACCGGGCACCATCCATGTCGCCTGCTCCGTAGCCATCCTTGCGTCCTGCTCTGTCTGCACCCTTGTCGTCTCCTCTACCTGCATCCTTGCCTCCACTTCCGCTGCTGCCATGGACGGGGTTCGGGAGGCCGAGCGACGCGGGGGGAGGGGGGCGAACACTGCTCCTCGAGGTCCACAACCACTCCCTGCGACGCCGCTTCCCTCTCTGCCGCCTCCATTAGTGTCTAATAGTGATCTTAGTCTCGTACGAATAAAACTACTTTCGTGACCGTAGTTTCGTATGAATAAAGTTTGTGTCATCACAAATCTTGGTTTTCCGATCCGATGAGGTGATGTTTGTGTGTCAAGTAATTTTTTATTGGTTTGATTATTTCTGAAGTTGGAATTTGATATCAACACCATGGTGAGAACTTTGTGATTTAACGATGTGCAATTAGGGCAACTCCAACGTGGCCCATTAAATGGACACCATCAAATGTCTGTGGACACGTCCAGACGTGTTCACGAATAGGAATGGGGCAGCAACCGTCCAATTGGATGCACCAAATGCCCGCTCCCATTTTCTTTATATCCGCACTATTGAAAACAATCAAAAATAAACAACACAAATTTTAAGCAAGTGAAAGATAAATATTCTAATGCAACAATAAAAATAAAAATATTACAATCCAAACATAAAGTTTTTGAGTGAAGTTCAACTTTGAATTCGTCCTAGCCGGACGCATGTACTAATTGTCCGTATGAAACGCCCAAAGGTGATCAACCAGATCATTCTGCAACTGCTCATGAGTTCCTCAATGTCAAATCTGATGATGCATTTGGATAAAATCCTTAGTTGTCTCTGGATTCTACTCTGAAAGTTAGTTAGAATCAGCCACGTTTTGAAAATCCAGACCATGGCAAACTCCATCACCCTCATCCTCCACAAATATTGTGTGCATGATCATACAAGCTATCATCACCTCCCTGAATGTCTCTGTGTCACATAGTTTAGCGGGTCCGCAAACAATAGTAAAGCGGGCTTGAAACACTTCAAATGTCTTCTCGGCATCCTTTTTAGTAGATTCTTGTTTTTGGTCAAAGTGACATCTTTTGTTACCCCTTGGTTCGAAGATAGTGTTGACGAAAGTCACCCATGGAGGATAGATACCATAACAAAGATAGTACCCCATGTTATACTCATTAGTTTTCAGTGTATGCAATCTGCTAATCTTAGCATACCCGGAAACCCTCTTGCTTCAGCAATTGCCATGAGCCTTGCCGTGTCTACAAGAGTTGCTTCTCTCAAGTACTCTGGCCCAAACAACTCCACCGCTGCAGTAGCAAATTTGACAATGGCTTCAAGTCATGTACTTTCATGCATCTGGAGCTACTCATGCCATGAATTTGCGATTGTGCCATGCGCAAGCACCCTCATTGCAGCGGTGCACTTCTAATAAACAGAGACCCGGTGGTTATAATGGCATCCTTCTTTATGGTCAAATAATCATCATAACCCAGGTATCATGGTAGAGGCGATCAAGCACTTTGTCGCCGCATCCGAAAATTGCAATGGAAATAAGGCTCGAATAGCGCAAAGTAGTTGTCAACCAACATCAAATGGCCACATGACCTACGCCGGTTCAACACTCGATGCCCTTTGGGTGTGTGAAGTGAACAATTGATGTGTTTAATGGTGCAGCTGCTATTTAAAATCATGGTAATTAATTCATTCAAACTTTAGTGATGCAACTGACTTCTAAAATTATTATAGTTTTTCTTTGTAAGGACTAAAATTATTATAGTTAACTCGTCAAAATTACAATTAGGTGCCTCAAAGAGGGCAAGTGCAAAACTGTATATATATACAAGAGATAACAACGGGTAAGCACTGGATATGAGAAGTGTGAAGCGTCATAAAATATTAGAAAATTAGTCAAAGAAACTATAGTTAACCTGATGGTGAGATAAAAATCTATAATATTGATTCCAACCAATAGCCATTGTTGTATCAGAACATGTTGCATGGGCAGGAAGCCTGATTCTTAGGTCCAGATATTCCCACACCAGCCAATTTTTTTTCGAAAAGGGGGGTTCCCCGGCCTCTACATCAGAACGATGCATACGGCCATCTTATTAATCAAAAAACAAAAAGTGCCAACAAGGTTCCACAGTCTCCGGCCAGACAAAAGCAAAAGATAAATGCAGCTCACATAGAGGCTGGCTAAAAATAGATAGGCTGGCTAAAAATAGATAGGGAAACTAATTGTCTATCCTATTACAAGACCACCATCCAAACCGGTTGAAGATATCCCGAGCTACCATCTTCCAACGGATAGATCCAGTAACCAAATGCTCCCTGGCCTCCATCAGAGTGAGTAGCGACCATGAACGGATCAGTGCCGTAGCTCGGAAAATAACCTGCAAAAAATGAATCCGTGATGTTCTGTTAAAAACCAAATCATTTCTGCAATTCCAGATAGTCCATAACAAAGCGCAAACTCCAACCCGAATATGTCTTGCTAATGCAGGCTCAACCCCATTAAGCCATGTCCCAAATAAAGCATTGACCGAAGTCGGTGGAGTAATATTAAAAGCAATATGGATCGTCCGCCAAAGAACTTTGGCCAACGGGCAATCAAAGAATAGATGTTTAATCGTCTCATCCCGATCACAGAAACTACACCTAGTAGGTCCTGTCCAATTGCGCTTAATCAAGTTGTCCTTTGTCAAAATAATTTGTTTATGGACAAACCACATAAACACTTTAATTTTTAAAGGAATTTTGACACCCCAAACATGCTTGGAAGTTGGAATAGCATTCGAATTAATAACATCAATATACATTGATTTAACTGTAAATACTCCAGAGCTAGTCAACTTCCAGCGCAATATATCGGGTTGGTGAGACAGTTGAACCTTCATCAGTATCCTAACTATATGGAGCCATTGTTCCCAACGATTGCCCGCTAGCGACCGTCGAAACTGAATATTAAGGGGAACAGATTGGAATACCGTTGCCACAAACACCTCGTGTCATTGAGCAATCCGATATAAAGACGGATATTGAATGGCCAAAGGTGATTCACCAAGCCAAGTATCCTCCCAGAAACGTGTACTTGTACCGTTTCCAATAACAAATCTCGTCCTATTGAACATAGATTGTTTGACTTTCATTAGTCCTTTCCAGAAAGGCGAATCAGTCGGCCTGACTGCGACCTGGGACAATGTTTTAGTCTGGAGGTACTTGCTGCGTAGGATCTGCGCCCACATGGCCTCAGTCCCGGAAGACAGCTTCCACAACCACTTACTAAGAAGGCATCTGTTCTTAACTTCGAGATTTTCGATACCAAGACCCCCTTGGTCTTTCGGTCTACAGATGATGTCCCATTTAGCAAGCCGGTATTTTCTTTTAAGTTCATCACCCTGCCAAAAGAAACGCGATCGATAAAAGTCCAGTCTTTTCCTAACACCAACTGGGACCTCAAAGAAAGATAAGAGAAACATAGGCATACTCGTGAGCACCGAATTAATCAATATCAAGCGGCCTCCGTATGACATGAGCTTACCCTTCCAACAGCTCAGTTTTTTCTCAAATCGATCCTCGATGCACTTCCATTCTCTGTTTGTAAGCCTACGATGGTGAATCGGAATACCAAGGTAAGAGAAGGGTAAACTCCCCAACTCGCACCCAAACAATTGCCTGTAAGACTCCTGGTCATCTTTGACTCTACCAAAGCAGAACAACTCGCTCTTATGAAAGTTAATCTTTAACCCGGTCAATTGTTCAAATAGGCATAACACTAGCTTCATATTTCTTGCCTTGGCCAAATCATGCTCCATAAAGATGATTGTATCATCGGCGTACTGAAGAATGGAGACACCTCCCTCAACAAGATGAGGTACCAACCCACCCACTTGACCATTCTCCTTAGCCCTTCCTATCAAAATTGCTAACATATCCACCACAATGTTAAACAGGATAGGGGACATCGGATCTCCTTGTCTTAGGCCTTTATGTGTCTGGAAGTAATGACCTATGTCGTCATTCACTTTAATTCCCACACTCCCTTTTTGCGTAAAGGACTCGACCTGTCGGCGCCAGGCTTCATCAAAACCTTTCATACGCAGTGCCTGTTGGAGGAATGGCCACTTAACCTTATCGTACGCTTTTTCGAAATCCACCTTAAAAATTACTCCATCTAATTTTTTGGAATGGATTTCATGGAGCGTTTCATGAAGAACAACCACCCCTTCAAGGATGTTCCTGTCCGGCATGAAAGCAGTTTGGGATTGCTGCACCACAGACTGCGCAATCTGTGTGAGCCTATTAGTCCCGACCTTGGTGAATATTTTGAAACTAACATTGAGGAGGCAGATCGGTCTGAACTGCTCAATCCTCACAGCATTCGTTTTCTTCGGGAGCAAAGTGATAGTTCCAAAATTCAAGTGAAATAAATGAAGCTGTCCAGAGAATAGATCA